AAAACATAATCCACATCAGCTTGTTCATAAATATTTATAACACTTCACGTGTTTATCAAGATTGACTAACGAAATAGAAGACTCTATCGTTCCAACAGCACAAGAATTAAATTAACAATTAAAGGTAAAAGCTACTCATACGAGATGGCAAATAAGGTATTGTCACCGACAATTTATCATCTGAATATAATCGATTGCTAGACGTTATGTCCCCTAAAATGCATCCACTGCGAGCAAAATCATTGCTTAATCCGCCATTGCTTAATAAAAGCCAGAAGAAAAAATCCTTTGAAACAGAGATCGAATAGCCCAGCGAAGAAAAATGTGTCGCGAAAAACTGCATTAGAAAGTGCCTTTCTTCGCGGCCAGTGAAACGTAGCTTCGCAGTCTCATATTGGAATTGGACGAAAGTGGCGTAATGAAATGGTAAGAGAAGTATCCGTGACCGAGACCGTTGATTTCGATTGGCGCACATGTGCGCTGCGTAATTCACGTCGTAATGCCCCGTCACGCGATGATGTAATTCGCGGCGGAAGCTGAGGAGAAGCGGCGTCACTCAGTTGAGCGACGTCGGAGGCGGCAAGCAGTGGTAAAGCGCGGAGTACCGATCTCGTACGCGATTCTCGTAATCGGAGCAGCGGAGGTACGAGAGGTAAAAGGGTTGACGACTCTTTCCACATTCGCCCCGAGCCCGAAGTGCGGGGGATTCGAGCTACCCGATGGGACTTCCGTTGTACCATTCGCGTTTATCATACCGAACGCGATTATCAACAAAGTAACTCGTCGACTCTCGCGAGCTGCGCTGCTCCAGGAATCCACGTTCGTCCATTCGATTGTCCAGCCACCGCTGTGGCTCGGTGCACTTTACACACTTCGAGGGGCCCAGGTTTTAAGTCAGGACTGGCTGGGGGAAGGGGCGAGTTCGTTCGATAGAATTGAAAGGCACGTGTCGCGTGTGTAATAAAATCGCGAAATAATGATGGACGGCAATACTCCCTCTGGCTCTCCGCCGGAGCTGGCCCTCATTATCCCCCCCCCCCAAACGGATGGGAGTACGGGACGTTTAATAACATGCGCGGTGTTCGTCCAACACGAGCTACGAATATATAAGAGCACCCGGTGACATTTGTCAAACCTCTAGTGGATTTCGTTGACCTACCTTCGTCGTCGTCGTTGGCTTCGTCACCCTCACCCCCTCAGATCCGAAACCCAGGGCCTTCTCGGACGTACGATGAACCGAATTCGTACGCGACGAATTCCGTCCGCGTCCTTTTTTGTTTGGGCTTCGAGGAAGATGCTCGGCCACCCGTACGAGTTTCGCCTCGTTAATGCGAAATCCGGGCTGAGAGTGGGATGGGTGATTATGCAGGTGAGCCCGTGCGTACATCGCCAATGCGGATAATCTTTCCCCTCCGGCCATGAGCAATTGGTTATGTTTTACAAGTCGAGCCTAGCGTGCCGCGTCTATGTGCAATGTTACGTCAAACAATTATCCGTAGAATGACGATTGAAAAGAACGTAGTTTACGTGTCGGGAATTATAGATGATTTAAAAATAGCTCGATTCATTGTGTCTCCCTATCTTGCCGACCTTCGCGTTAAATTTATCGGATACATATTCAAGTTGTCTAAATATTGTAGAAATAATCGATTCCAATTCGGGACCATACGATTTCATTTTCTTTGATAAATGTCTGCAGGGAAATCGTATTGGTAACGAAAAATATAATTATAAGCCTCGAAACTTTATATCCGTATACCTGGATACGTGTGCGTGTGCGTGTGCGGGTGCGCGTACCTGTGTGTTTAACCAGTTCTTTTAAGCTCGACATGCCATTTACCAAGAGACATGACTTATTGTTGTATTAAGCAGGCGGAAAATAGTAAAGATTGGCTTAAAAATTATAGCACAGACCCAATGTACGTCGAGCCTTAGAAAATTCCGCGCTTGCTTAAGAATTATTATTTGTTCGATAATATTTATTTTCATCGCTCGTTCGTATTTCGTTCTTAATTGTCCTCTTGGGCATACAGAAATTGACGATAAATTGAAGTGACGAAGACTCTCGAGAAACTACAAAATAGCCGTTGTTGCGAATCCGTCGAGCCTTCGAAGCTCTTCAACGGCACTGAGTCGAACGACGGTGAGAGAGCAAAATAAGAGGTCAAAAGCAATATGGACTTTGATATAAAGAGGGATGAGGATACTATTGAGCATTTCAAAGTCACACAAGACATCTCCACGGAATGGTAAGGAGAGTCGACGTGTCGCGTTGCGCCCCGCATAAAGATGATCCCGTTAAGCCAGGTGTAACACCCACGCGTTTGCATAGCTCGAGTAAATGCGATTGGCTTTGCCACGCAATGCGTTAACTTGTTTTATTTTCAATTCAAAAGCATCATAAATAATACTTACTTTAACTTATAAAAAGCATACCTTCGACCTTCTGACCTGGAAACTGAGTTTGTTTTATGAATTGCACTTAAGTCTTATTTGCCTTCTTAGCTTACCAGCATTGTGCGCGTGATTTTTTTTTTATGTTTTTTTTTTGTTTTTTTTTGTTTTTTTTTTGTTTTGTTTTTAATAATCTCCTTCGCATACAATATTGTTTGCCAATTATATTAAATTTTAGAGAAAATCATTAATAAAATAAGATAATTACTTTTGTTTGTTTTCTCATCTGCAAGATGTTAAATTAAATTTAGCTTAAATTGAAATTGTAAAGGAATGTGGAAGAGATGTTTTGCATTATGATTATCAAACTAACGATAGTAATTATTAATATGATTTCAGTGTTCTAATACAAGTTCTAGTACGTAAGAACGATTTAAAGTTAACTTGTTTATTTAATTCAAGTCGACATTAAAAAGTAAGTAAAGCAACGGAAAAGCACGGTACAAAAAAATGATATAAAACTTTATGATGTTTCCGCTACCAATGAGCCTTACTTGATTAGAATTTCAGTAATATTTGCTACATTGATATATTTAAATCAATTTAAGAGTATAAATGCGCAACTTGCATATTTCTATATATATATTATAGATGCGTTCTTTGTATACTAAACAGATCCATATAATTGTACGAATAATATAACTCACTTGACTCGTGAACACTTATTTAACTTGAACACGATATCTCTCTCTCTTTCTCTCTCTCTCTCTCTCTCTCTCTCTCTCTCTCTCTCTCTATATATATATGTATATATATATATATATATATATATATATATATATATATATATATATATAACTGTTTGAATGCTCAAAAGAAATCGAAAACAGTCTCACGTTATACTTTAGATGGTGTTGTAGTAATTTCTTGATAATGAATGAGCCACTATATGCAAGTAATTCGAAAAAAAATTCTCAATACATGTATTGTACATCCTTCACTATGAAATTGTAACCAAAATAGACTAACGATAATGATACACTCTAACGATTATGCGTTATCTTAAATTCCGAGGACATCTTTATGTCACTTCATTCTATTTCATTTTCTCAATCATAGCTTATTTAAATTACAAATGAATTGCTTAAATCGAATCAAGTCACAATAACAAATATTAAATATTTAATATCATGCAGACATATCATGCGACGCCCTCGGCAGCTTTAACTCAACATAATTTCGGCCCAGCGCTTTAAATGTCAATGTAAGGGATAAAAAAATTAACGTTTATTATTCACCGTTTTTTTCGTCACAAGCTAATGTTGCTTGGAGTTGCTCGTTCAATTACGTATACACAAGCGATATTTTTATAATAATATTCACGCGTATAAGATTAATGAGATTATGGATGTTACGAGAGGCAACGCGAGTTTGAAAAAAAAATTATTATCCAGCTAATCCGTCAAAGCCGGTGGTATGAATTTTTGAATAAACGTAGGCCTCGAGAAACGATACGATTTACGCAAATGAAAAGCCGCATTAAATAAAGTAATGTATACAATAAAATATTATTTGATGTACGCTTGCCATTAGGATCATTACTCTTTGAACAGTCCAATAGTTAATAAAATAAATATCTCGAGACTGGGCTCGTACCGTTAGAAAGTATAGCTCCACATTGCTCAATTTGTCTACTCTAACGGTTCCGCACACACAAAGCCCATGAATATTCAAGTAAGCAACACTAATCAGATTGACACATAGTTTGTACATATAATCATATGTCAATTAGCAGTAATTGCAATATTATCATTAAATTGACACTAAAACATTAAATTGCCCCTAATAATAACACTATTTGACTGAATTATTATTGTTGCTGAATTAATTCGCTTGATAATGGCCAATGTGCGACGTTAAGTATTTTATGCATTGCGTTGCGTTAAAATCCGAAGCTTACTTATGCTCACCGACACTCACGTCCATATAATATTACAAATAATTAGCCAAAGGCCAATAGGCATCCGATTAATAATAACATTAGTTTAGCCCAAGGGGGCAATAGGATTAATTGTCGTTCAAAAAAAAAAAAAAAAAAACAGACAAAGAGACAAAGACAAACCGGTCTCAAACGTTTATTCGTCGTTTCTTTCGAGACTTATTATTATACAGTCTGGCCATAAATTCGCCGTAAAGCGAAACGAACGAGAGTCGCGGGTGATGAGTAAGAGGAGGCCCCGCCGAATCGAAAAGAAACTCAATTTTCCATGGAGTCGTAAGAAAGTCGCGATAGTGGTTAACGACCGCCGCCGAGACATCCTCGGAACGTCCCGAGCGAAAGGGAATCGGCCATCCAATCGGCAGCCGTGAAAGCAGTTGTACGATCGAGCGAAAGCCAGGGAACAAAGAGAGAAGGCGCGCATAAACAATGATAGTCGGCGTGTCGAATGGGCGCTGGTGATATCGGGGGAAAAAAAGAGAGAGAAAAAAAAGAAAAAAGAAGCGAGGCGGCCGACATCGCGTTGCTCGTTTCTCGCGTTCGGGCGCGCAGCTCGAAATTCGAAAGCGCGGACCCGTTCCTTTGGTCTCATGGACCCTCATTTTAGGCGCCGTCGGCTGGAGTAATGTTCTCGAGGAGTCGGGGCCAGGGCCGGCTCTTCGGCAAGAGGGACGGGCCCGGGAGCAAGAGGCACCAGTCTCACAGCTGGATGACGACAAACAAGTTGAGGAACGAGCAGAGGCAGCCGAGGAGGACGCGCATCGGTGACGGGTAATTAATACTTTATGGTGCTTTGGCTTAGCCACGGGTTAACCAGTGTTGCTTTTATCATCGCTGGCCACCTGGACGCTTATCGCGCACGTGCTCGAGTTGCCACTCTACCGCGAGCTTCGGCAAGTCTCGGGAACCTTGCCTCGCCATTTCGATACTCGTCGCCTATCCATTCAGCGACGAATCCATACTGCATTTGTTGTATACCAATGGTTATTCGATTGACGATATTATTGGATTTGCTTTATGGATTTGAGACGAGTGTGTACGTTTACTTGTAAAATACAAGTAAAGTGCCCGAAGACTTTCTCGTCTCAAATTTGCTTTTCTCTACCTTGTCAATGCGTAATAAATCGTTGGGTTAGCTTTGATGGACATCCAATGATCAACTCGGCAGAAAAGCTTTATATTTTATATCCGCGTATTCACGAGATATTAATACGTAATGGGTGCATATATATATATATATATATATATATATATATATATATATATATATATTTGTTTATTTATTTTTGTTGTTGTTGTTGTTGTTGTTGTTGTTCTTGTTCTTGTTTTTTAACAAAATATTCCTACAGCATTTCTAGTCGATGTCATCGCATTTTCAGGAAATTTACTTTTAAGAAGTATATTTTACTTTTGTTTTGCGAGCATCCTAAATTATTCAATAGCACAGATTTATTGATTACCTAAATTATTTAATAATCAAATATAAAACAGTTAAATAAAAATAATAATAAACAGCAGAGGTTGAAGTTTATTATATTACGAATGTTGAAATATTTGAGATAGCAAATTGTTTTGCAAAACCATATCGTAACTTAATATAATCTAAATAACATAAAATACCATCGCTAATTCTAAAATTTTAAATTACAAAACGTAAATATACAAAATTCGTAATTACGGAAGTAATGTGGTCTCATGTAATGAAATAATTTCTGGAATGAAGGTAGTTGCTAATTGTAGTGCTGATCTCATTTTTCAAGCAAGTCAAGTTAATTTCACGTCGTTTTATTTCAAGTTTTTACTTTATATAAACTTATATTTATAGTAAAAGAAAAAAATATATGCATATATATTTTAATATATATTTGTTAGTTATCTTATAATTAAAACGTTAAACAGTAAATGTTAATCTTGAAATACACATAAAAGAAATAGGCATCCAAGATTTGAGTGGTAAGGTAAAAGTTACACCAATTATCATAAAATAATGTGTAAATTAAGTCGTTGAATTTAAAATTACAATATCGATAAAACCAGTAGCGTTGGTATTTCATACACAATAACCTTATACATTGATTTAATAATTCTTCAATGTTCTATTAGCTGTACATATTTATTACAAGATTAAAATTAATCGAATAAATATTATAGACTGAAGATTGGAATATTTTAGTAGATATAAATATAAAGTGAAATCAATTATAATGGAAATATAATACTGTCTATAAGACAGCTAAAATGGATTCGTCATTTTCCTTATTGAATTAATTTAGTAAACTGAAAAAAATTCTGCACAAATGATTTTTCCAAATTATCGTATAACGTTCTTTAATCTTTGTTTTTAGATTTTTAATTTTTAACAGTATTCATACAAAATAATTTTTATATGAAATTATATAAAAAAATTATATGGATTATCCATTATAAACAGATTAATAAGAATTGCGATATATCGTTTCTTTATATATTGCAAATTAAAGTATGCAAATTACATGTTTATCGAGTAATTTGAAAAATGTACTTAATTCTATTTTTAAATAAGTATTTAAGCAAATTGGATCTATTACTTTCTTTAGTTCTAAAAGTTAATAATTTTCAACTTAATTTTCAATTTAACAAATGACGTTTATTCTTAAACTCTTTCAAAGTCGTACATGAACAACGGCATGTTAAATTAAATTAAAGTTCCATCCTCATAAATACGATATAATTCGCATAGATTGTAATTATTTTTAAAGATTTAATAGAAGATTTGTTACGGTAAAAAGTTGTCAGCTATAAATTTATAAATGAATGAAGCATTCATGTTTCATGCTACGAGCAGACATTTTATCATCGAACAATTTCATTAAAAAAATCTTATCATTAAACAATATTATATATAAAACATTATTAAACAAGAGTTTGGATGATTATCAGGAAACAGCAATTTACGGTCGCAATGTGACTGGCAACCGAAGGGTAAAAGATCACACGAAAAATCAGATAGTGACAGTGTGATGGGGAGTTGGAAGGGGACTTAAGGACCTTGTATACCAGCCTTGACCGAGGACTCGACGTATAGGAACACGTGCCAAGTATTAAAATGGTGCTGTAATGACATTAACGAGCCATCATTGGCTCGGTAATAGTCCTCGTCCGATCCCAAATTCGTATTCCGCGCGTAACCACATCGCTACGTTCACGTTACATACGCTCTGTGTGTGTGTGTGTGTGTGCGCGCGCGCGTGCGTACGCTTGTGTGTGTGTGTGTGTGTGGTGCAGTGTTGCGTGCGTGCATGCGTGCGTGCGTGCGTGCGTGCGTGCGTGCGTGCGTGCGTGCGTGCGTGCGTGCGTGCGTGCGTGCGTGCGTGCGTGCGTGCGTGCGTGCGTGCGTGCGTGCGTGCGTGCGTGCGTGCGTGCGTGCGTGCGTGCGTGCGTGCGTGCGTGCGTGCGTGCGTGCGTGCGTGCGTGCGTGCGTGCGTGCGTGCGTGCGTGCGTGCGTGCGTGCGTGCGTGCGTGCGTGCGTGCGTGCGTGCGTGCGTGCGTGCGTGCGTGCGTGCGTGCGTGCGTGCGTGCGTGCGTGCGTGCGTGCGTGCGTGCGTGCGTGCGTGCGTGCGTGCGTGCGTGCGTGCGTGCGTGCGTGCGTGCGTGCGTGCGTGCGTGCGTGCGTGCGTGCGTGCGTGCGTGCGTGCGTGCGTGCGTGCGTGCGTGCGTGCGTGCGTGCGTGCGTGCGTGCGTGCGTGCGTGCGTGCGTGCGTGCGTGCGTGCGTGCGTGCGTGCGTGCGTGCGTGCGTGCGTGCGTGCGTGCGTGCGTGCGTGCGTGCGTGCGTGCGTGCGTGCGTGCGTGCGTGCGTGCGTGCGTGCGCTTGTGATTTTCGAGGACTACGACACATTTGATTATGTAAAAAAAGTCCCGTGAAGAATAGTCGATTCTATTAAAGGAATTTTAACTATTGATCGATATAATGTGGTACCGATAATGATAAACGATCTATTTGCGGTCGACTGGCACTGAATAAACCTTATACCGTTTTAAACTTAACACGTTTTAAACGCGCGATATGTCGATGAAATATGAACTTATTTTTTTCAACTTATTGGCAATAATTAATAAATCTAATCATCAATAATATATTACAATAACAATTATTTTGATGGGATAGTAAAAATGAAACAACATTTTTTAATTTAACAAAAAGACATCTTTTATGAATATTTTTTTTTAAATTCTTTTTCTAGAATATTTAAAAGTATACAAATACATACAAATTTTCTTATATCTTTGTACATCTATAATTCTCTTCATAAATTATTGATTGAAAAATCCATCTTTTTTTTATACCCTCATATATCTTTGCTTATTTATAGCAAATTATATTATTGTTTGTATTGCTTCGGGCACAAATGCACACAAATAATATTTCCAATAGTTAAATCTACGGATATATTATCAAATAACATTCCATTTTATTATTTTTAATATGTAATGTTTTGTTTCTACTGTAAAAATGTAATTGTTTTCCAATATTATTTCTATGATAAAGATTTGCTCTTCATAATTTTATAAATCATAGATCAAATTGCGTCATTTTTTTTTCATTTATCGAGTATTTATAGAGATATGCGTATAAAAATCATTCTAATTCAAAATTACCAATCAATAATTTTTAATTTTTAAATAGTTTAAATGTTTATTTTTGTGATTATGTAACCATGAAAATTCTAGAATTCAAACTATACGATAATTATAATTATGCAAGTCATATTTTAAATAAAAATCATATTTCTATGTTGACATTGTAAAATCTCTGCTTGTTCGCAAAATTGATTTCATTGCAGTTTTGAATGACTAAGTCCTGACTTAAAGTCCCAATGACTTAAAGGAGAATGTCAAGATATATCGCATCTCTGATTATAGGTAATTTTTTTTTTCAATGCATACAGGGTAATTACATATGCCCCATGTATAACCACTCTAATATAAGTCTTGCAACAATATAGGATTAAATAAAAAAGTTAATTGTAAGTTTCATTTGAAAGAAACCAAAATTCTATAACGAGTGACTTAACATATACATGTACTTAACATTGAAACATTGATACACAAACAAATTCTTGAATTTGTTTTATTATGTGATTGTATAAAGATCTAAGTACACAGTATTATATACTACTTATAATTATACTCATTGCGCTTATAAACTATATTCACTATTATAATAAATTAATTTATTATAATAAATCATAATAAAAGTTAAAATATTATATAAATAATTATGTACATTTTCAATTGAAATTGCAAAGTCTTATAAGTTTCTATAAAAAACGTCTATTAAAATCTGTAATAAGTTGTACCTATAAATTGAATATAAGAATTAAATGTTTTCTTTTATAGAATATAACAATATACGATTAGGATATAATATTTAATACAATTAATAAATGAAAATAAATTAATAAATAAAAAAAAATAAATTAATTTCCATAGCATTATTAAATAATAATACTGTTAAATGATAAGTATCCTGGTATTTTTATATTTCATTTGCAAATCAACTATCCTGAAAACTTACCATTTTACTTTAAAAAACCAAATACCGACGCTTCAATCCATTTCTCAAATACATAATTTTTTGCCTCTATCATAATACATAGCAACTGTTCTCTAACTAAACGATTTTAAAATATTTCGCACATTATTATTATATTCATTTTTCGAATCGAGCTATATCCCTCACTATTCAATAATGTCATGCAAACAACAAAGTCGAAAAAAGATGCAGAACATG